CCTGTGGTCCCAGCTACTTGGGAGGCTGAGGCAGGAGACTCGCTTGAGCCCAGGAGTTGGAGGTTGCTGTGAGCGTGATGCCATAGCACTCTACCCAGGGTGCCAGCTTGAGGCTCTGTCTCAAAAAAAAAAAAAAAAAAAAAACCTACTCCTGAGAACATGCAGTGATACCACTTTCCTGCTATTCCTGCCTAAAATGTATCACATGATTCTATGACAAAGCATCAGAAAAACACAAATCAGGGTAAATTCTACACATATAAAGTAACTATCCTATGCTCTTCAAAAATGTCGAGATCACAAAAAGCTGATAAACTGGTTTCAGATTAAAAAGTAAAGACGCAATCCCCAGCCCGGACCCGCCAAACAACAATGACGGCTACAACCAAAAAATAGCCAGGCGTTGTGGCGGGCGTCTGTCGTCCCAGCTATGTGGGAGGCTAAGGCAAGAGAATTGCTTAAGCCCAGGAGTTTGAGGTTGCTGTGAGCTGTGACACCACGGCATTCTACCGAGAGCAACATAGTGAGACTGTCTCCAAAAAAAAACAAAACACATTAGTGGGATACTTTGTGAAATGTGATTAAGGCCTACAGATAAGCGTTGTATGAATGCTAACTGCCAGATTTAGTAATTATATTAACGTGTTTACATGTGTAACACCTGCAGTTTGCTCTCAAATATTTCTGAGGAGGGCGGCGCCTGTGGCTCGGTGGGTAGGGTGCGGACCCCACATACCTAGGGTGGCAGGTTAGAACCCGGCCCCAGCCAAGCTGCCACAAAAAAATAGTCCGGCGTTGTGGCGGGCGCCTGTACTCCCAGCTACTCCGGAGGCTGAGGCAAGAGGCCTAAGCCCAAGAGCTGGAGGTGGCTGTGAGCTGTGACGCCACAGAACTCTACTGAGGGCGACAAAGTGAGACTCTGTGTCTAAAAAGGAAAAAAAAACAAAACTGAGGAAAAAACAGAATGATAATGTCTGTGTGGTAAAATAAAACAAATTGTGTTGGCAGCCGCTGCAGCGCCGCCCCATCGCTGTCTAATGCCCGCGCCGCCTCTAGCTCACCCAGCTCCAGTCGGAGGAGAAAGGGAAGTAAGTAAGGAGGTCTTTATACCATGGCTCGTACAAAGCAGACTGCTCGCAAATCCACCGGTGGAAAAGCACCCAGGAAGCGACTGGCTACAAAAGCCGCTCGCAAGAGTGCGCCCTCTACTGGAGGGGTGAAGAAACCTCATCGCTACAGGCCTGGGGCT